AACAAAATAATCCATATTTACTAGTCAAGAGTTGACTAAGGCACAACCCAACTCCATGGTAGTTTATTTCAGTGTATGAGCCCAAGTGCTCACTCCCAGATAGACACACACAAGCCTTGCTCCCTGCAAACCGTTGCCATTTCAAATCAGTATCCATACTAGAAATGGGTGGCTCTTCTCCATTCCAAGGGAGGTCGGACTAGAAGACCTCCAAGGCCCCTTCCAAGCTCTATTCTGATTGACTATTTCTTTCCCGGCCCTCACCTGCCAGCAGGAGAAGCGGGCGGGGCGCCGCCAGGTAAATATCCCGGGCGCTCAAGAGACAGCAGCAGCAGCTCCGCCCCGCCGCGGGTCACCTGTGCGCGCAAAAGGGCGATCCAGGAAGGCGAAAGGGAAGCAGAGCGAGCGCGCCCGCGCACGACCCACTTCAAGCGGGCGAGAGAGAGAGAGGAGAAAAGAAGGAGAAAAAGAAGGAGAAAAAGAAAAGAAGAAAGAAAGAAGAAACCTCCTCCAGGGCGAGCACCGGATGTGCCTGGATCAGCCCCCGTCTGGGTTTTCCCCCTTGGCTTTGTAGGGCAGGCCGAAAGTTGCGTCTGGAAGCGAGACAAAAGTTGGAGAGAACTTTGCTCCCGTCGTCAGCAGTTCGACTTTTTTTTCCTTTTCTTTTTTCCTTTTCTTTTGGGGGAATTCTTGACTCTCTCTTCCCGCATCATCGCTCGCTCCCTTCCCCAACACCCCCCTCCCCACTCAACGCCCCCCCTCCACGCCAAAGCGATTAATCGATACATGAAGGCTCCCCTCTCCTAACGCGAAGGAAAGATGAATATCTATCGCCCACCGTCGGGGGCCAAAACGAAGGTCTCCGGCCTGAAATACAGCAGCAAGACCGAGGTGAGCGCTTTACTTTCTGGTTGCGGCTTCCCTTTTCACGGGGAGGAGGCGAAGGGTGGCTTTGAAACAACAACAAAAAAAAGATATCTGGATTTTTAAAAGGATTATTAATTTTTTGTTGTTCAACCACGGAGCGATCTGGTGAAGAGTTTGGAAAGCGAAGGCGGCGATGCCGGAATAGTGATGGAATGGATCCTACCCAAGTTTTTCGTCTCTTTTGTTTTCCCTGCCGCCTCTTTGTTGGGCTCCGAACCGGGGGGAGGGGTCTCTCGAGGGGGATCCGAGCATGGGAGGGGGACTCTCAGGGGGGTCTCGCTCAGGCTTGGTCTCCCTCTGGCGCTTGGAGAGGCTTCATTCCAGAGAAATTTAGGCTTTGGGTGGAAGAGAAAGGAGGCTGGGAGGAAGGAAAGAGGAAAAGAAAAAGAAAAGAAATGCGATCCGGGAGCTGAGCTGCACAGGTGTGTTCAGCTGGTCATCTAGGGCAGAAAGGTGTGCAAAGGTGAAACAGGGCCTCTTGGTGGAGAAAGGTGGGGAACTCGAAAGCACAGGAGACCAGATCCCTGTGATCTCTGATCCAAGATCAGCCGAGGAAGAGGAGGAATTAAAAACAGCTAATAACCGGTAGCCCTAGACTTACAACAGCTCATTTAGCAACCATCCAAAGGGACCCCAGGACTGAAAAAAAGTGTTTTTTCACACTTTCGACGGGTGTGGCTCCCCCAGGATCAAAATCCAGAGGGTTGGCTCACTGGCAGTTGCAGTCTCTTGGGGTGACGTGATCACTTTCTGACCAGCAAAATCAACCGGGAAGCCAGGTTCACCGAACAGCCACGTTTACTAAGGGGGAAATCTGCAGTGATTCGCTTAACAACCGTGGCAAGAAAGGCCATAAAATTGGGGCAAGACTCGCTTCACAACTGTCTCGGTTAGCAACAGAAATTTGAGGCTCGGTCGAGACTGTCTGTCATGTTAAGAGCTAAAAAGAGAGATAAAATAAACCAAGTTTTAAAAAACTAATAATATATAAGGTTTTTTTTGTATTATCCTTAAATGGATTTAGTTGGTCATATATTATTTTTTTTTATCTTTGTGTGCGTGTTACTTATCCCTTTATACATTTTATTTGTCTCTCTGTGTATCTGTGTACCCTGTGGTGTGTATGTGTACGCACACAAACACATACACACACAAAATGAAATTTATAAAGGGCTAAGTAACACAAGTTACTTATCCCTTTATATATTTTATTTGTCTCTCTCTCTGGGCGTGTGCTTACACATTCACACGCAGGTACATAGACACACAGACATACACACAAAAAATAAAATTTATAACACACAAAGATTTAAAAAAATAATATATGGCGAACTAAATCCATTTAAGAATAATACAAAAAAAACCTTATATATTATTAGTTTTTTTAAAACTTGGTTTATTTTATCTCTCTTTTTAGCTCTTAACATGACAGACAGTCTCGACCGAGCCTCAAATTTCTGTT